TGAGCTGGACATATATACCATAGCTCCTTTGAGATTTCTGGCCACTGTTTAGCTTTAATCCATTGGAAGGTTTGGAATTTAATCACCTTGATCATCTTGTACTGAGGTTCCAATTTTGCCTTAAAGACCTTCCGATTTCTCCATAGCCAAATATTCCATACAACTGCAAACCAAATCACCTTCCAAGCTTCCTTTGCAATTTATTGTTGAAAAGTCCTGCATTCTGGATCAGGTGGTTCCAGCCCTGTTCTTGGGGCGCCACATTAATAACCCACCACTGATAACACGATGACCACACCTTCCATGCTATTGGACATGAAAACAAAAGATGGCCTACACTTTGAGCCTCTTTCCCACATAAAACACGACTGGTTGTCTTCACTGCCCAGCACTCCACGTTTCTGTAGATTTTCTTTTGTTGAGATTCTATTTTGCATCACTTTCCAAGCAAAAGCTGCAACTTTAATGGTACTCTTCTATTCCATATCAGATTGTAGTCTCTGAGCAGATCAAGGATGGGTGTTGTATTTAAATACATTGTATGCAGAGGACACTGAATATTTGCCTCTAGGGTCCTGTTTCCATATCTGTCTTCTTGTCCTTGAACCAACTTCCTTTTTTGAACTTCCTCTATAAGTTCCTGCAAAACGTCAATTTCCCAAGAAAAAAGTTCTCTCCTCCAACTCCATTGCCACTTCCCATCTCTCCATTCTCCCATATTAGATATCTAAGCCTCCTTATTGCTTGTTATGTTGAACAATCTATAAACTCCATCCTTCAATGAATAATTACCCACCCATTGGTCATGCCAAAATAATGTTCCATTACCTTCCCCAAACCATCTTCTCGAGCATCATCCTAAACCATCCTTCTCTACCGTATGGATGTTTTGTTGATATGAGCATTAAGATTCAGATAAGTCTAGTTCCACAGCAAACATCAGGGTCATACTTGGGAATCCGTCTCCAACTGCATAAACTATTGCCTACTTGTGTGGGTTAGCTTTCCTTCTGTTCACAATTAGCTTCATTTTTCTCTCATATTCTCATAACATTCTGTGTCTAACGAAGAGCAAAAAACTAAATTTTCTGCTAAATGGAGTCATGTGATGTTATGGTGACAAACCAGTATCTTACAGTTTGAATCTGTGCAGGACGTCAAATTCAAAGTAGCCAGTGTCCTAAGCACTCATGTCGGACACTTAATCGGGAATCCATTTAACATAGATCTCTTTCTATTGATAACGTAATTCCATGATGGAATTTCTGTCTGCCTTTTTCTTATTCCCCTATTCTGATAAATAGTTTTCAGTATATAAATTTCTTTGACCTTTTCTTTTTTTGAACATGGGCAATTTTGGGGGGAGAGGGGGTGAGTTACAACCACAACTAGAAGCAATGCTTCTTGTGGACAAGGATAGCTGTTGGCCTGAGACTTGAGGGCACCAAGCTCTTAAGTTTTAGGCCATGAACGAGTACATTACACTGCAAGGGCCTGGTTTCAATTTCTTTTTTCTAATTTGTGCAATTTTTTTTCCCCTCCTTTGGTAATTTGGTCATTTATCAAATCAAGTTAAAAAAAAATTAAATACCCCTAGTCTGTTTCCTTTTTCTCTTTGATGGTTGTATTTATGTGATGATTTTGTTTCATATGTTTTTTCAGAGAACCTCTCATTACTAACATCATGTGGAGGAACCTGCTTATCCAAGTAACTATAGTTTCCTTTTGTTTTTTTAAATCAAAACTTCAGATTACCCTTAAATAAATATCTGCTTCACTTGTACATTACACCAACAAAAAGATCCTCATTTTAATTTTTATTGTATTGTCAATTATCAGGCTATATATCAAGTGATTGTCCTTCTAGTCCTGAATTTTCAAGGCGAGAGTTTGTTGTCGCATCTGGAGCATGACTATGCTAATAAGGCTAGAGAAGTGAAGAACAAAGTGAAGAAAACAGTAATATTCAATTCATTTGTCCTCTGTCAGGTATTTCTAGAATGGATGGCATTTTATTTTTGTGCTTGTGATATTTGATCAAATGCTAAGCGTTTGGTCTGCACTCTTCAGATCTTTAATGAGTTCAATGCTCGGAAGCCAGATGAAAAGAACATTTTCGAAGGATTCACTGGAAACTATCTCTTTATGGGAATAGTGTCTATAACTGTTTTACTTCAGGTAAAACTTGGTTCTCTAGGCATATGATTGGTTTATGTGAATTCAAAGTTGTTGCTTAAGTCCAACTTTTGTGGTGCTGTTGATTAGGTCATCATGGTCGAGTTTCTTGGTAATTTTGCTTCAACAGTCCATCTGAGCTGGAGGCTTTGGCTGGTTTCAATATCCATTGGTTTTATCAGGTGACATAGGATTTTAAGTTTTCTGCCGTAGAAGAGAAGAGAAGAACATATTATTTGTTTGTTTAAGACTTCAGGTGCTCATCACCAACTTTGTTCTTTCTTTCCATTTTCTTTGTGTATTAGTTGGCCCCTGGCTTTCATCAGCAAATTTATACCTGTTCCTCCAACTCCTTTTAGCAAGTACTTCAAAAGAATATTCCCTCGGCGGAGAAGTTCACCAAGTAAGGAGATCTCTCATCTTTTTCGTTTGTGTTGAGAGATGAGATTATGAGATTGAAGAGATATACTAAGTCTGATATTATTTATGGTACGTTCTTATCTCAGGAAGTGAAGAAAACCACGAAGAAGGAGCGCATGGAGGAGGAGCACATGAAGAAGAAACACGTGAAGATTCACATCAATAACAAAACGAGAAATTGTTGTATAGTGTGAATTATATTAAACTGCACAACGAAGACTTAAAATAAATAAAAAAAAGTGTTCCCTTGAAATTTGAAGATGCTTAAATTGTGTATAGCTTTAGGGATTTCGACAAGAGGCGTGTATCTGGTGATTAAAACTGGATTGCTTTTTTTTTTTAAATTCCAGTTTTAAGTAGGACATTGGATTCTCTCCCTTTCTCTCATTCCTGTTTAGTAGTGACCTCAACTTTAATTTTCCCAAAACCAAGGTCTCAAACTTTATTATAGTCTTAATTTGTAGACCCCACTTGTTTCCCAGCTCTCAACAAATTTGAGGATTAATTTGTACCTATCAACTAAAGTGTATTGTTTATTGCATTTGAAGGACTCGATTGGATGATTCATTTTAAATTATTATTATTATTTTTTTAGATTTGCAATATTTTACTAGTTAAAACTAATTGTTTAATTATGGCAGTGAGTGTGATAAATTGTTTAAAATATAACAAATTAGAGAGAAAAAAAAATGCATTGGCTTATTTTGCTCAATGCATCAAACCTAATATAAAGATTAATAAGTATTCAAGATTTCTTATAAAAAAATTAAAATATGAGTCCAAGATCTTGCAATTTGACTATAAAATAAAATTGAAATCACTGAATAATGGGTCTGTATGGTGTTTAAAGAATTACTTTAATTTAATAGTCGATGTTTTGAAGGTAGATTAAATGACATTTTTAAATTATATTTTTAATAATTTATATGAAAACTAACAGCATCAATTGTTGAGAGATATAATTAAAAATAAAAAATTAAAATTAAAATATTTTAATATTTTAAATATTAAAATATTTTTTTGAATAAGTTTGGCATTATTTACAAGTATATATAGAAGGAGGAAAATGAATTTTATGGAGTTCGAATACGTCACTCATCGGAAGTGAACAATTTTGATCCAAGTTTAATGTTATTAGGTCGAAACGGACCATTCAAATATTAAAATATTTAATTTTAATTACATAAAAAATAAAACTTAAATAAAATTTATATTA